ATATAAGACTGTATTATTTATATAAAATTTCATATTATCAAACTACTATATCTATATGTATTATCATTATTAATCATTATTTAACTATAGCTATTGTCGCTTCATTTTATACATACTACTAGTAAACTAAATTTAGTTTAATTTATATTATACATTTTCATTGCATCAACTTGTATCCCTCCAGCAATAATACAGTCTTATATCTCTTGCCATTTGTAGCATTAATGTTCTAGTTACTTTCTTAATAAATCTTGTATAAACCTCCCTTGGCAACATGCTATTCCTTTCCTATCTCACAAAAGCTTGAAACTCAACATCTGCTCTTTCCATCAGCTTATCTTTGGTTATCACTAGTGTTTTTATCAAGAGAACTTCTGAGATTCCTAGCAACTGCTTGGACAAGTCCCTGCAGGTTTTTTGGGGGCAAGATTTCAGAAATGGTTTGCCATTGCCTTTTTCCAAGAGAGAATGAGAATGGACTAGCCCAAAGCTGCCTTTCATACCTAAGACAGGAATAGAATTCATGGTCCCCAGCTTTTAGCCTATGCAAGAACAGTCTTCAAAATTGCAAGCACTTGTACTTCTGCCATTCCTTCTAATTTGAGCCTTTCCCCCCACATGAGCACAGCAGAGATGCCAATAAAGCAGCAATTTTGACACAAGTGTGGGAGGTGAGGTGTGTTTTTGGAGCTCTGCAACCACCAGTAAACTGAGAAGAACAGCAGTGTTCTGTTTTTCCTTCAGAGGGAATGGATAGTCCACAGAAAATATGTACAAAGAACCAGGAAAAGAAAGCACAATTTAGAAAGATACAGCAGCTCTATCTACTGGCCATTAAAAGAGAAGTAAAAAAGAAGACATCTCAGAGAAAGGAAATAAAAGTCAGAATAGGCTCTGTAAGAAGAAAATATTGATGTAGATATGATGTAGATATGATGTAGATATAGTATGAATAGAGTAGAAGAAACATTGTGATAGTAATAGAAGATAGGAAAGAGGTAATAGGAAGTATGTGGTGTATGTATGTATATGTATACGTGTACGTGTATGTATGTATGTATGTATGTATGTATGTATGTATGATAGAGATAATAGGACTGTGTGTGTGTTGTGTATATGTCTGTGTATGTGTGTAAGTACGAGTTTGGGCAGAAAAGAAACTATATAGGTCCATAATGGCAAACCTCTGGCACTTGTGCCAGAGGTGGCACCAGAGCCCTCTCTGTGAGCATGCGCGCCGTTGCCAGCTGCTCTTCAGGTTTCTGACGTGCAGATGCGCTTCGGCCAACTGATCTTTGTGCATGCTGGAGCTCTGGAAACCCGGCTGTTTTTTGGGTTTCCGGTGCTCCAGCACGTGCAAAGACCAGCTGGCCCACACGTATGCGCATGATCATGCATGCACAATTAGGTGGCCGGCATGCGCATAGGCACCGGGCAGTTGGTCTTTGAATTTCCGGAGCTCCGGCATGCACAAAGACAGAAGACCCCACCGGCCAGCTGGTCTTAAAGTTTCTAAGGCTCCAGAGCACACATGCACACTCATCTGTGCATGTATGTGCATTCCGGTTTGGGCACTAGGTGCCAAAAAGTTTTGCCATCACTGATATAGGTTCATAGTTGGCTGAAAAGACTCATGGACCAAAACAGCCTTCTGTTGGAGCCATTTGTTTTCCATGACAGAATTATTGTTTGTTTTGAAAGTATGAGAAAGAAAAAATATGAGATAGTGTAGTTAAAAATAAATATATTAATGTGGACCTAAAGTTACTGGTGGACATTTCTATTTTCTTTGCACAAACATTAGCATCAAGTTAAGGATATTGTTACCTGTAGCACATATGTCTCAAAACTCAATCTGGTGAGTGTAAGGTCCATTTGTATCTATTCTCAATACTTGCCGGTTTCCATATGTGCCATGCTTCACGACTACACCAGCTTCTGTACATCTGACATTAGCAGCCAGTTGTTTTTCACACTGAATCACAAACTGGGAATAGAGTTCTAGTCCAAGTTCTTTTTCAATGTTGGCATGATATTGCATTCTTCTTCCTTTCAATTTACCACCCAGCGTGGCTTGTGGTATTACAAGTATGCTGCCTGGCAAATCCAAAACAGACACATATTTGCCATCTTCGCATTCACTTAATTTCACTTTCAGGATTGTATTGACTGTAAAAAATAAGAGGGGAAAATACTTGATTAGCAGGTTCAAACATATCATATATTATCAATAACACATTAAATTATCTTTATTTATTGAACACATTTATTAAACACATTTATTAGTTGTTAGTATGAAAAAAATCTTAAAAGAACCCGTTTGTGGATCAGTAAACTAATACAGGCCCTGCTCACATAGTCTAAAAAGCATGCTGCAAAGTAAAGAAGGGGAGGGGAAAACAAATGAAAACATTCATGCACCAGTTCTTAATGGTCAAATGCAGCAATACAGGGCGGGGCATAACCTTTTCCTAGGGGGTCACAGCAAGATCGACAGCAGTTTACAACTTCCGCGACACCTCATTTTAAAGC